CACACCTCACCTATCATACCTCACCCATCACACCTCAACCCATCACACCTCAACCCCTCACATCTCAACCCATCACACCTCAAACACACTGTAAACACACTCCTCACACTACACATACACCACATACACACACTACATGCATACACAATGCACACATATGCTGTACATACTGCACACACTGCACATGACACTATACACATTCACAAACACGTTAGACTGTACCCACTTATACACCATATACACAAACACTGCACACATACACTACACAGTATACACGTACACATTGCATACATGGACTGTACACACACACCATATACACACACTGTAAACACTGCACACACATGCACGCTATACACACTTATACACCATATGCATACACTGCACGTTACATTGCACACACATATGCACTGTATACACATAAACACTACACATACTATAGACACATACCGACTATACACCACATACAGGTACTGCATATACTATACACACACTGTACATGCACACTGTATACGCTGTACACACTTATACACCATATATACACTGCACATGCATACACATTGCACACACATACACTATACACACTATTCACACATATGCACTGTACCCTTTATACACTCACTGTACACAAACACTGCACAGACATGCTGTACACACAGTTTACACACTTATACACCATATAAACACACTACACACACACTATACACACACTGCACACACATACACAGCACACTGTACATATGCACACTGCATACACACTACATATGCACACTGCATACACATATACACTGGCCACACTGTACACATACACACAATGCACACACACTGTATGCACTTTATGCTGTATACACTTATACACAAGCACCGCGCATGCAGACACTGCACACACATACACACTGTACACACATACAATGTAATACACCATATACAAAAAACACTGTACACATGCTGTAAACAGACTGCACATGCATACACCATACACACTGTATACACACATATACTGTATACACATATACACTGCTTACAGATACTGTATACACTTATACCTTGAGTACATACACTGTACACACATGCACATTGTATACAGACTACACACACTATATACACATGCACACTGCATACACCCACACTGCACACATACACACACTGTAGGCACACTGTATACACACTGATGCAGCACACACACTGCACACACACTATATACACTTGCACATTGGATACATTGCACAGATACTTTACACTGTACACACTTATACATTATATACACTAAACACACACTGCCCACGCATACACTATACACACTATACACATGCACACTGTATACACATACACACCACACATACTTATACACAGACTGCACACTGCACACATACTGTACACAGTACACACTGCATACACAAAGTGCACATGCATACAAACTGTACACACGGTATATACACATACACAGTGGTATATAATGTACACACTTATACACCGTATACACACTGTAAACACACACTGCACACATACACTGTACACATACATATGCACACCCATGCACACTGCATAAACAGTATATACACATGCACACTGTATACACTGTACACACATACACACTGTGTACACTTATACACCATAAATACAAACACTACACACACAATGCGCACACACTGTACACACTATACACTGTACACACATACACTGCATACACTGTACATACATACACACTATACACACTGTAAACACACACTGCATACACATATACACTGTATACACATGCACAGTGTATACACACATACACGGCACATGCATACACACTGTACACACATACTGTATACACATACACGTAGACTGCACACACACTGCATACTCATATGCTGTGCATGCATACACACTGTACACTATATACACATGCACACTATACACTTATATACCATATACATAAACATACTGCACATACACATTACACATACACAGCTTAACCCATCACACCACACCCATCACACCTCAGCCCCTCACACCTCACCCATCACAGCTTAACCCATCATACATCACCCACCACACCTCACCCATCACACCTCAACCCATCACAGATTAACCCATCACAGCTTAATGAATCACACCTCACCCATCACACCTCAACACAGCAGACCTCACCCATCAAACCCTTCCCATCACACCTCAACCCATCACACCTCAAACACACTGTAAACACACTGCTCACACTACACACTTATACACCACATACAGACACTACACGCATACACATACATGGACTGTACACACATACCATATACACACACTGTAAACATAACACTGCACACACATGCACGCTGTACACACTTATACACCATATGCGTACACTGCACGTCACATTGCACACACATATGCACTGTATACACATAAACACTACACATAATATAGACACATACCGACTATACACCACATACACGTACTGCATACACTATACACACACTGTACATGCACACTGTATACGCTGTACACCATATATACACACTGCACATGCATACACATTGCACACACATACACTATACACACTGTTTACACATATGCACGGTACCCTTTATACACTCACTGTACACAAACACTGCACAGACATGCTGTACACACACTTTACACACTTATACACCATATAAACACACTACACACACACTATACACTGCACACACATACACAGTACACTGTACATATGCACACTGCATACACACACTACATATGCATACTGCATACACATATACACTGCACACACTGTACACATACACACAATGCACACACACTGTGTGCACTTTATGCTGTATACACTTATACACAAACTGCACACGCATAGACACTGCACACACATACACACTGTACACATGCTGTAAACAGACTGCACATGCATACACCATAAACACTGTATACACACATATACTGTATACACATATACACTGCTTACAGATACTGTATACACTTATACCTTGAGTACATACATACGCTGTACACACATGCACACTGTGTACAGACACACTACACATGCACACTGCATACACCCACACTGTACGCATACACACACTGTAGGCACACTGTATACACACTGATGCTGCACACACTGCACACATATACACTACACATGCACACTGTATACACATACACTGTACACACACTATACACTTGCACATTGGATACACACACCACACATGCTTTAAACTGTACACACTTATACACCATATACACACTGTAAACACACACACTACCCACGCATACACTATACACATGCACACTGTATACACATACACACCGCACATACTTATATGCAGACTGCACACTGCACACATACTGTATACAGTACACACTGCATACACATAAGCTGCACATGCATACACACTGTACACACACTATATACACATGCACAGTGGTATACACTGTATACACTTATACACCGTATACACACTGTAAACACACTTCACACACATGCACTGTACACATACATAATGCACACACATGCACACTGCATAAACAGTATATACACATGCACACTGTATACACTGTACACACACACTGTAAACTGTACACACATAATGCACACACAGTACACACTTATACACCATAGACGCAAACACTACACACACAATGCACACACACAGTGTACACAGTATACACTGTACACATACACTGCATACACACACTGTACATGCATACACATTACACACATATGCTATACACACTGTACACACATACACACTACACATGACACTATACACATTCACACATGCTGTCCACACTTATACACTGTACATACACACTGCAAACACTGCACACTTATACACCAACACACTGCACACATACACACTATAGACACACTGTAAACACACACTTCATACACATATACACTATATACACATGCACAGTGTATATACACACACATGGCACATGCATACACACTGTACACACATACTGTATACACATACACAGACTGCACACACACACACTGCATACACATATGCTGTGCATGCATACACACTGTACACTATATACACATGCACACTATACACTTATATACATAAACATACTGCACATACACACTGCACCTACTATATACACATGCACACTGTACATGCTGTACACACATATACCATATACACAAACACTGTAAACATACACTTTACACACTTATACACCATGTACACACACTGCACATGCATACACATTGCACACACGTATACTGTATACACACTGCCCCCTTTATACACTCACTCTACACATATACTACACAAACACTATGCACAGACATGCACGCACATACACAATGCACACATACGTTATACACACTGCTCACACAATGCACATACGGCACACAAATATACACTGCACACACACTGTACACTATATACACATGCACACTTACCATGTACACACACATAATGCACACAGTTTATGCACTTTACGCTGTACACACTTATAAACGATATACACAAACACTGCAAACACACTGCATGCACACTATGCACACACAATCAGATGCACACTGTACACGCTGTACACACTTATACACCATATACACACACTGCACATGCATACACATTGCACACACCTACACTATACACATACACACTGCATCCTTTATACATTCACTGTACATACTGCACGAACGCTATGCACAGACATGCTGCACACACACTTTACACACTTATACACCATATAAACACACTGCACAAATATAAACACCCTGTACACACATACACTGTAATACACTGTATACAGAAAACATGGCACACACACATACACCACACTATACACACTCTGTAAACACACTTCACTCACATACACCATACACACTGTATACACACAGATACTGTATGCACATATACACTGCTCACAGATACTGTATACACTTATACCTTGAATACATATAGACACTGCACACACATACACACTGCACACACATATACATTGCTCACCTACACGCTAGGTGCTTGGCTCATCATTGTCTCCTGCCAGCCTGCAGCTCTTGCTTCTCCTTTAAGGAACATCTGCTCTGGCCATGCCTTGACAAAGTGGGGACCTGACCACCAAGAACAAATGACCCCATGATGAACGAGGTGGCCCAGGATTGATACGCTGCACACACATACACACTGTATCTGTGCATTGTGATACATCAGGAGTGTGTTTCTCTGGCCTCTCTCCACCTTGACCATCCCAAGCGACATTTCTCCACCTTGCAGTCCACATTCCAGCCCGTCAGAACCACCACCAATTCCGTCATCCACCACTGAAGTGTGAAGATGCCTACTCTGTGCTTGACTCCTCATTGCCCCTGCCAGCCTGCAAAGCTCCTGCTTCTCCTTTAAGGAACACCTGCTCTGGCCATGCCTCAGTAAAGTGGGGACCTGAGCACGAAGAAGGGAGGATGGGGGAGGACAGCGTTTATCCATTAGCTGTGGCCCAGTCCCATGGGGATGAAGTGCTGGCAGGGTTGCAGTAGGAACCCTGATCTCACCTTGGTCTTTGAGCTCTTGTCGGTGAAAGAGGTCAGCATGTACCCGATGAATCCAGGCAGGTGTTCAGGAGTGGCCAGGTACACTCAGCCTGAAATGATGGGTATGTTTTAGCAGAAACCAAAAGGCATCGCTGTTGAGAAATGCCTGAGGAAGGTGGGAGAGGCATGGGGCGAGCTGCAGGTGGTTGGAGGCTCTTGGGGAGAAGGTGTGGGCTGGTCAGGTTCGGGAGGGCAGGGCACGAGGTTGGAGGACACACGCCATTGATCTCCCAGATGTGTGTTCTGAGCTCAGGCCCCACGCATGTGGCCTCCCAGTTGACTCTTCCCTATTTCAACATGAATATTTCAATGAAGCAGAAACTTTCATTTTTCTTTTTAAAATCAAATCCATCTCTTGTGATTTATTGATTTTTCTTAAAAGTAAATCCATTTTTTGTTTTTCACAGCTTATTACCAGACACTGGCGTCTGGGACACACTGAGCAAGAATTCTGTTGAAAGTATTTAAAAGTATTTTCAAATCAAATCAATAAAACTACATGGACATATTTTTTAGTGTTACAAAGAACAAATGTGGAGAAATTCATCAAAACATGCTATTTGATGCCACTGAGTAGAACAGCACAGCTTTGATTTGAACAGATGTTCTAAACCATGAGGATTGTGCAAGAGAAGCTTAGGAAAAATAAGCATAACCTCTAATACAAAAACAAGCGGGCTCAGTCCTGGGTCTGGGTAAGTTGGGTTAAACACACTCCAAATGGCTACACGTGGGAAGCTGGACAGAATACCTGGGATGATTATTTGAAGACCCTGGAAAGTGAACAGCAGGAGGAGGGAAGAACTCCAAAACCCAACATTCCATCAGATACACGTAGTTTACTCTCTCCCCTACCTGATCTCCTCAAGTCTGAACTCAATGCACTAGAAACCCAGAAAGGGACACCAAGGTGCAGGTACAGAGAATTCCAGAAAAAACTCTATGGCCCCAGTAGCAGGAAAAGAAACTCCCATTAGAAATCCCCATTTTCTTTTCCATTTTCCCCCGATTGTCCTCTCCCAACACAACCCCTTAAGCAATCAGGTAGAGATGGTGGCAGCAGCCAATGACACACCCATGGGTGCAGGCCAATTGTCCTCTACATCCGGCAGGCCTGCTACATCTAGGAGGCTAGGCTGCACCGCACACGTCCTCCCCCTGGGTGCTTCTGAGCTGCATGACCACGGAACGAAGAGGTGGCTGCAGAAGGGCTCCACAGAGCAGGGTAACTCACATCCCAAATTTCCAGCCAGAGGAACTTGGGAAAGGCTGTTTACAGACTCCTGGGTTCACGGTTCCCCTGCACACATGAGCTGTGCACACACGGGTGTCACCTCACCTCGTGGAGCATTCCAAACATTGTGAAGATTAACAGAGCACTCACAGACCAGGTCCTGGGTTGGCCTCTGGGTGGCACACATGCGGGACAGATCTGGCTGGAACTGCAAAGCTTGGAAAATGGAGCTGACCACAAAACCACAGCCAGTCCAGAGAAGGCACGCTGGATTTTGTGGCCTGGATGTAAGCAGGTCAGCTGCCTGCAGAAACAAAAAGCTGGGCATTGTCCATTCTCCCTGCCTCATAACATGCCATCCAGAATGCCCAGGATACAATCCAAAATTACTTGGCATGTAAAGAATCAGGGATATCCCAATTCTCATGGGAAAAGACAGCCAGCAGACACTGATACTAAGATGGCACAGCTGTTGCAATTATCTGACAAAGACTTTAAAACAGCTGTTATTAAAACATTCCAGCCAGGTTCCATGGCTTACACCTGTAATCTCAGCACTTTGGGAGGCTGAAACACATGGACAATTTTGAGTTCAGGAGTTTGAGACCAGCCTGGGCCACATGGTGAAACCCTATCTCTACTAAAAATACAAAAATTAGCCAGGTGTGGTGGCATGTGCCTGTAGTCCCAGATACTTGGGAGGCTGAGGTTGGAGATCACTTGAGGCCAGACTTTATGAAACAAGGGATAAAAGAATTTAGTGACAGATATTTCCACACTGAACAAAATCAGAGTCATATTAACAAGGAAGAAAAGAAAAATAGATAAAAGGTAGGCAAGTCATAGTATCTTCGACAACAGATATTAAATATTGTATGCAAATTATATATTATATACACATATATGTATGTATGTGTAGATAGCATGGCCATTCTACGTGAAGTGACATTTTCTAAGTTGACTGCAAAGAGTTAACTATGAACACTACAATCCTTAGAATGATCAGTGTTTTAAAAATTCATCCTTGTAAAGCGATTCAGTAAGAAACACAATAGATGATTCTAGATATGTTCAAATAACCCAAAAAGAAGGCAGGGAAGGGGAAACAGAAGAATGTCAAATGGATAGACCAAACAGAAAACAAATAGCAAAATGGTAGAACTGAACCCAAATATATCAATCATTATAGTCAATGAAAATGGTCTACACACAGTCTTAAAGACTGGAGTTGTCAGAATGCATACAACAACAAGAATTATTCATATGCTGCTCTCAAGAAACTCACTGCAAATATAATGGTGCAGGTATATTAAAAGAAAAAATTTTAAAAGGTTATCCACATGAACACTAATCAAAAAAGCTGGGTTGGCGATTATCAGACAAAATGGACTTCAAAGCAAATATATTTGCTAGAGGTAAAGTAAAACGTTATGTAATATTAGAAGAATCGATTCATCAAGAAGACATAACAATACCAAATGCGTATGCAACTAACAAAAGAGCTGCAAAATATACGAGACAAAAACTGAAGGAAGGGAAGGGAGAAAGAGGTAAATCTACCATGACAGTTGGGAACTTCAGCATTCCTTTGTTAGTAAGATGTAGAACTGGCAGAGAGAATTGGCAAAGATAGGGAAGGGGACAACACCATCAACCCACTGCATCTAATTGACAGTTATAGAACACTCTAATCAATAAAAACAGAGCACACATACTTTCAAGTCTGCATGGGGCATTCACCAAGAAAGATCATTGAAATCATACCAAGTATGTTTTCTGATCACAATGGAATTAAAACTGAAATCAACTACATAAAGATAACAAAAAAATCTCCAAATTCTTGGAAATTAAATGACAATTTTTAGATGATCACTGGGTCAAAGAGAAAGTCTTAAGGGAAATTAGAAAATACTTTGAACAGTAAAAACACTGCATGTCAAAATTTGTGGGATGTAAATAAATCAGTACTTAAAAAATGACTTAAACGCTTATACAAGAAAAGAAAACTTACAAGTGAATAGTCTTTACCTTAAGAAACTACAAAAAATGGGCCAGGCACAGTAGCTCATGCCTGTAATCCCAGCACTTTGGGAGGCCGAGGCAGGTGGATCACGAGGTCGAGAGATCGAGACCATCCTGGTCAACATGGTGAAACCCCGTCTCTACTAAAAGTGCAAAAAATTAGCTGGGCATGGTGGCACGTGCCTGTAATCCCAGCTACTCAGGAGGCTGAGGCAGGAGAATTGCCTGAGCCCAGGAGGCGGAGGTTGCGGTGAGCCGAGATCGCGCCATTGCACTCCAGCCTGGGTAACAAGGGCGAAACGCCGTCTCAAAAAAAAAAAAAAAACAAAAAACATGAAAATTAGCCAAGCGTGGTAGCACACACCTGTAATCCCAACCACTCAGGAGGCTGAGGCAGGAGAATCACTTGAATCTGGGAGGCGGGGGTTGCAGTGAGCAGAGATCATGCCACTGCACTCCAGCCTGGGTAACAGAGTGAGATGTCATCTCAAAAAATAAATAAATAAAAGAAAATAAAAATGAGCAAAATAAGCACAAAGCAAGCAGAAGAACATTATAAAAATGAGCTGAAATTAGTTAAACTGAAAACGGTAAAACCATCCAGAATATTAAGAAATCTGACTCCTGATTTAAGATCAATAAAATTAGCCTCTGGTGTGGCTGACAAGGAAATATAGAAGAGAAGCTAAAACTACCAATGCCAGAAATGAAATAGGCTTTTTTGTGTATTCTGCAAACATCAAATAAATAAGAAAAGTATACTTCAAACCACTCTACACATACAAATTCAGCAACTTACATGAAATGGACTAAGGCCTTGAAAACCATAAACTGTTCAAACTCCCCCAAGATGAACTAGATAACCTATATAGCCCTATTAATAAAACTGGATTTATAGTTAACCTGAGAAAGAAATCTCTATGCCAAGATGGTTCACTGTCAAATTCTACCAAACATTAAAAAGAAATAAAATCAGTTACACACAACTTCTTGAAGAAAAGGAAATGTTTTCTACCTTATGAGGTGTTACCCCAGTGTCTAAGCCTGATAAAGATAATACATGAAAAGAAAACTACAGACCAATATTGTTCATGAACATATATAAAAATATCCTCAAAAATCTATTTGTAAATTAAATCTGGCAATGTGTGGTAAGATGAATACAAGACCATCAACTTGGATTTCTTCTAGGAATTCCAAACCAGGTCAACATTCACACATCAATCAATATAATCAACCATATTGGCTGTCTCAGAAGTAATATCACATGATCATATATTACACAGAAAAGGCATTTGGTAAAACTTAGAATCCATTTACAATAAAAAAGCAACATAAGAATAAAAGAAAAAGTATTCATCCTGCTAAAGGACATTTACAAAAACTTGTAGCTAACATTTTACTTAGAAGTGAAAGATATAATTTCCCCCTAAAATCAGAAAAAAAAGTCTAGAGAATCCCCTTTTACCCATTCTATTCAGCATGATTATGAAAGCCCTGGCCTGTATTACAGGGCAGGAAAAAGGAAAAAAAAAAAAACACACAGGCTAGGAGGGAAAGATAAAACTGTCCTATTCATAGACACCATGACTGTATACAGAATCCCAAGAGTATACAAAAAAATATTCTAGAACTAAGAGGTGAGTTTAGCAAGGTTAGACAAGGTCAACACGCACACACACACACACACACACACACACACGCACACACACATTCATTTCCATGCATTAGCAATAGATAAATTGAAAACCAAAATTTTAAAAAAAGATACCATTTAAAATAGGTCAAAAAGTGAAATATAAGCATAAATATAGCAAAACATGTACAGACTTTGCTGAAAAATAACACTGATGAGAGCTTTCAAAGAAGACATAAATTGTGAAGAGACCTACTGTATTCAAGATTCCAACACAGTGAAAATGCTGACTTTTCCCAAATTGACCAATGGACTCAAAATGATTCCAATCAGAATCCCAGCATGATTTTTTTTAAAGATAAAGGCAAGGTAATTTCAAAATTTATATGAAATGTCAAATCAATTTGAATAAAATATTTTTTGAAACAAAATTGGAAATTAAATTCCTTGATTTA